TTCGAGGGTCGTTGAACGAGAGGAAAGCCTGTGAATCGGTGGGCGACTTCGGCTTGGTGGATTGGGATTGCACGTGTAAAAACTGAATTTGAATGACTTGGTCACTGACCAAAAGAACTCTGCATGATCCTTCAAGTCTTTTTGGGGTGCCAAAGAACTGAACAAAACTTAAGAGAAGGGGATTTCCCCTCCCAAGAGGATCCCCACCCCACCACTTTCAAGTTTCTGTTTTCAAGAATCATGGTCGGGATGGGATTCCAGAAGGAATTCGCTGATTTGGTGTGATTGTGAGCGACAATTGCTCCCACAATCTGCCCTATGCCATTTTCCATCATTTTCCTGATTCTTGGACAAAGGTGCGGGAGGAAACTGGTGACTTGGCCGCTGGCTAGCCTGTCTTCTTAGACAAAGTTGAGAGGCTTGAACATTCTCCAAGTGGGTCAAGGAGTGTAGGGTTCCGAAAGCCCTGCCTTGGCACTGTGAGTCATCAACGCCGACAAAAAAAGACTCCACTGGCCTGGCTCAGACACTTGTTCGACCCGGGAGAGAGAGTGTGCAAAGACTTGTGGCCCCAAATGGAAAAACTATATACTCAGCTATTGTTCACTTCTGCACATATCAACCAAAGCCGCCCGCCCAGAAAACTCTGTTCCTCATGCTGGGAAGGTGGACGCTCCACCAGCTCCCTACTAACTAAGACATAAACTAAACAATATATATATAGATATACAAAAGTGTGCACTTCACATATAGCAGGGCCATTCTGAACATCTCTCAATCCAAATTGATTGTTGTGTAAAGTTGGCAATCGATATTTTGGGGTCCCATCATGATCGGAGACATTCTTAGTTGATATCTGTAGCATCTTCGGCTGTCACTAAGTATTGAACCGGCTTGTCAAGCATCATCCGTCTTGTTGCTGTAAGTGGCGCACATGCCAAATAAGGCCTGCGTCTGGAATTTGCTCGAAAAAAAACATCCACTTTCATATCTCTCACAATGAATCGCTCCCACAAAGGGTCAACAATTCAAGCCATAAACAGATACTATACTGAGATTGAATGGCGGAAGGAATAGTCCATTCTCACACTCACACCGCCAGGAAACCTAAGCTCTTGACAGTTCTGGGCTTGTCAGTGCCACTTTTCCTGCCAAACCGCAGTTCGGGCGTGGACTTTCTGCCAGCGACCACCTACTCCTCGGTAAATCTAAGAATATACTCCGGATAAGCTTGCTCCGGTGCAAATGTCACAAACTCCATATGAGCCTGTACTCCGTTGCTTTGGCCATTGGGAATGCCGGGCTTTGCGATGATGGAATCGTACCGAATTTCGTGGGCACTGTTGGATGCGGATGCGCTAACATTCTTCGTAGGTGGGCCTTGAAGGCTCTGCTCAGGATCCCAGTATCAGGTCTTTTGCATCTTGCAATCCCACAAACAACACAATGAAATTAAAAACAAATCGAATCCACCAACTGGAGCGAACACAAAAGCACTGACATGTAGTAGTCCCTCCTATCAAAAGTACTGATCAATTCTGGAAAGGTGCGCGTCAAGTTTCTACACGGCACTGATGCATAGTGTGGGTCTCCGATAGCAACACGAGCAACAAGCATAGTCCCAATCAAATGCGCCGATGCTTTCCCTGTCACGCCGTTGATGGTGGCGTACTGGGCACTTTTGCATGTTTGCGCAGCAAAGTATGTGCCCGACCCATAGAGCCCGCCTGACCTGGCAATTCGATTGTCAAAACCCTCTTTGGCAATATCTTTTGCTTTGTCAAATTCTCTCGTGCCATGGAACAATAGAATCTCGTTGCCAGCAAGGTCGAGCTGAATCTCTTGCGGGAACCGAGTCAAGGCATCGCCAACTGGTGGATCAATGACCCTGGGTTTGATTCCGTGCTGCTTATGTTTGTCAACAATGCTTCGCACATGGCGCTGATACCGGCGCCATAATTTCCGATTCTTGACCTGGTAAGCCTCGACCAGCCGAAAGGTCGATCTTCCGTGAAGGCAATCACAATCCGTCCCATCATGACGTGGCTTAGACCGATTTAGCACACCTTCTAAAGTTGACATCATGGCCGGATCTGTGCAAAGTATCTGTGCCGCATATGTACGTCCACTGATGTCCCTCCACTAATTGCAGAGACCGCACCCTGAAGAATCAGGACTGGAATCTCGAACTGCTTGCTATCAAACTTTTCACAAACACGTCTTTGGCTTTGGCTGTGGAAGTCGAGGAAACCCACTCACCAAGCATAAATGGGATCATCTATGACTATGACCAAATCCCATTGTCCCGCCGACTCACTAAACTCTGAGAACATCAAACCAGCTCGCAACTGAGATGAAATGAGCTGAAAGGAGCTAAGGACACTTAAGTCACTACGTTGGCTTCAAAGGTGGTTTCCTATGGTTTCTGAACAGGTCTGCTGGTTCAAGTCTCGAGACCTGGCCTCAAGCGGAGCTTGGCTCCGCTTCAAGCCTGCACGGGGTGAGCTGGGGCTTGGAAGCCATGGTGACACAAACTCGAGAACCAATCCATTTGTCAGAGGTGATTCGCCGGCCCTTACCATACCTGTAGTAACACTCCAATGTCCATGTAGTTGCAGTATATACATGCTGAACATTGATACCGACATAGTACAGCCTCAAGCAAAACAAAATCCGAAGAACTCCTGCCATGATCCCGCTGGATTCGTTCAGGGAACTCAAGTCAAAAAGACTGGCAAGATCCCTCCAGAACTGGGGGGTGAACGGACCAAACCACACGGATCCTTTTGCAGGATCTATGTTGGTAGGACTCTACAGTAGATGGTAGCTAGGAAAGTATCCTGAGAAACATAAATCCACGCCCATCCGATATCCATGGACCCAGACATGGATGCACACCCAAAACCTGCGAATTGGTGTTGGGTCACAAGAACCGAGGATCAAGATTCGCATTCAGTGGCTGTGTAATTCAGTCAGCCTGCTGGACCACACAACCCTTGCGAACATCCATGTGCAGGGCTTGGCTACAGTAGCAGGTGTGTTCGGGGAAATCGGATCGGCGGGCATCATTAGACTCTAGACAACTATCGGACCATTGCAACTCTGTGTGCTGTTTCATGTCTACCTTGCCACAAACTCCAGGTAGATAGGTCGAACTCTTTGTGAGTGCAAAGAAGAATGCTCACCACTCTTGGGAATCCCCAAGTACTCAGCTGCTTCGAAACCCAAGTACTGGGCTCGGTCCATGATTCGTCGGAACGGCAAACACTGCTACGTAGTTCCGATGCAGCTTCCACGTATTCTCCCCAAGCGGGTTCTGCGATTCGACCGGCTAAAACATCTGGACACCAAGAGTCAAAAAAATTGTTGAGAAAAGGATCAAACACATCAAGCAACCTCATGAATTTTCCAAAAACGCATTGGAGAATCATTTCAGGTCACTCGGGCACCGATCACCAGAACCTCAGCTGATGGGGTCAACTGCAAAACCTGAGAGATCACAAACAACTTCAACCGAGGATCTTCCTGGGGGTCACTTCAAACAAAAACTTAAACAACTTGTCCTCTTGCTGGTCCTCCTCTTGAGCCGTCTCGACCGCACGTTGCCCGGTCCGGGCTCCTTGAGGGTTGCTCCGATCGTGGTTGAGCAGGTCACCCGGAGGATCAGATCAACTGCCACCTGCTGAGGTGAGTGGTGCTTGGAGGGATGTCAATGGACATCAACTTGTTTTTCGGTGAAACAAACACGGAGGTGGAAGTGAGGCAACTCCTTCTCTTTCTTCTTTTGATAGTAGTGTTGGAAGGTCTTTCTTGGGAGTGTATATCATGGGTGTGTCTCAAAGTGAGGTGCGGTCGACATACACCCTCCTAGCGGGAAGCTGGTTGAATCACCCAAACCTATCATCCAAAAACTGTTTCGAGAATGCACGTGCGACACACAACAAAACAGTTGCTGCTGACATGCTTTTCACGCTTGCGAGATGGGACTTTACCCAACATCTATCTGATCAAGTTGACATAGCTGCTTGCCCAGCTACTACTGGTCACAGACTGAACACTGGCAAGGCTATCCAATCACCACCTACATCCACTTACTCAAACCTACTCCTCAATGAATCGCAAAATATATTCCGGATAAGCTTGTTCCGGTGCAAATGTCACGACTTCCATATGGGCCTGCACCCCGCCAGGCTGGCCATTTGGAATCCCCGGCTGTGCAATGATGGAATCGTGCCGGATTTCTTGTCCAGTTCTTATAGGTGGACCTTGGCAGCAAGCCATGCGGGTGAGAATCCTCCGAAACCGATGTACAAAATGGGTGGGGGTGTGAACACAACCACATGGGATCAGTTGTTCCAACTCAATTTAATAGACAGAAACCCATGTGACCACAGGAAGACATTATTGAATTGAACTTGTCTTTGACAACAAGGCAGGGGCCAACCAGGCAGCAATTAGGGAGATGGAGCCCGGAGCCCACCATGCTTTTCATGGAGTCTTCATGCGTACAAGTACGTAGCAGTCACCTCGTTCAAGCTTGGAAGCCAGCCTTTACTCAATTTTTCCCCAAGCAATCTACTGTTGGGGTTCTATCTTAGCAAGAAAGAGCTGGCCACACTGACTGGCCGCGCCCCTGAACTGTGTGGCCAGGCTTTGTGGCCAGGTCTTGTCCTCCTCCTGTCCTCTGGCCGCGCTGACCAGCCCTGGCCACACTGACTGGCCGCGCCCCTGAACTCTGTGGCCGGGTCGTCCTCATCTTGTCTTCTGCTCTGCTCTTGTCTTCTCTCGTGGCCGAACAAATTTGACAAATAGCGATATCAATGCCGACAAAATTAATTGATGAAGCAGTTTGTTCTTGGGGGGGGAAGTTTTCATCTTCAACAACAAAGGGAAAATGTCTTTGGTCTTGGAGAAGGCACGCGAACCTTGATAGGGACCTGGTGTATAGTAGGGATCACCTATCGCAACGCGGGCCAGAAGCAAAGTGCCAGGCATCTGCATTGATGCCTTGTTTTTCATAGCTTCTTCAGTAGCATATTGAGCACTCTTGCAGGTTTGTATTGCAAAATATGCTCCTCTGCCAAACAGCCCTTCTCGTGCAATTCGACTGTCAAAACCTTCCTGCGCAATGGCGGTTACAGAATCCAAGTCCCGTGTGCCATGGAACAGCAAACGTTCATTGAAGGCAAAATCAACTTGCATAGACTCTGCTAGCTCATTCAGGGCTGTAGCATCTGGGCAAATGCCCACGGGTGTGATCTTGTACTTCTTGTGCTTGTCTCTGATGTTTTGCACATAGCGTTGATACCCACGCCACAGCATCAGGTTCTTAACCTGATATGCTCCAACCAGCCGGAAGGTTGAGTTTCCATG